TGAATTTTTTTTTACCCCAATTTGCTTTTCTTTGTTTTCTTTCAACCATAGGGTGACACATTTCACTCTTTGATTAGTGAAAAAAAATATTAAATTAAAATAAAGTTAGTCCTTCAATTGAATGGTGACATGACATGACAAGTGACATCATTTGATTAGGGGATTAAATTTATTTTAATTTATTAAAAGTATGTTTAAATTGAGAAAATATGTAAATAACTGAGAGTAATATGTGATTATATCAAAATATTTAACTGTTATTAAAGATAGTAAACTTAGGGTGATCATAAAAATGAAAATAATCGTATTTATATTTTTTTAAATTAGTGATAAAAATAAATAACACACAAACATAACTGATCATTCGTGTAGTTAATCTATAATATAAATCATTGAAGTTTGTTGAATAGATTTTGCTAATACTTAAATATTAATTAAAAATAAATAATATTAATCATTTAACAAATTATTATATATTATTTTATTATAAATAGGTTTAATACAAAAATATGTGTCAAAACTATATCGTTTTCTCATTTAGGTGCCTAAACTTTTTTTCGGTCAATCCAGGTGTCTAATGTTTTCAACGTTACATTTTTAGGTGTCTCGGTCGTAACGGACGTTAAGTTCCGCCTTTAAGTGGCACGTGTCACACTCAAATAATTAATTTTTTTAAATATAAAATTTTAAAATTTTACAAAGACGACATAACGACAATGTTTAACAGTTGTAACGGTCTAGACACCAAAAAGTGTAATTTGATCACTAATAATCATTTTAAATATTGAATCAATAAATTTTAGTATTTAAGGATCGAAGAGATGACAATGCATGAAATGATGATATAGCAACCAAGCATCTAGTGTTGAAAGAGAGATTATGGAAATCCATGAATGAAGATCACGGGTATGGTAGAAGAGCATATAATAAAGGTGCCTGTCAATGCCGTAGTTGAGACATGTTTAAGCATCTTCTGATCACTACTGAACAATTCTGCCATTAGCCTTTAAGAACCTGCTCTCATCAACTACTGGATGATGATGATGATGATGACGACGACGATGACGACGACGACGACGACGACGACGACGACGACGACGACGACGACGACGACGACGACGACGATGACGACGATCCAAAATTAACCTATACAAAGTTAAAAAAGTTTATATAATGGTCGAAATTATATATATTTAAGAATTAAAATAAATATTTTAATATTTTTAAATTTAAAAATGTTAAAATCCGGAAGAAAAATAAAAGGCTTGAGTAAAAAAAATAAGTGTTTAAATTATATTTTTTTTCGAATAGGTGCCTAAAATATTTTTCGGTCCATCCAGATGTTTAAAGTTATAAACATTATCACTTTAGGTGTCCGACGTTACAAAAATTATCACTTTATGTATCTTAATGTTAACGGCCGTTAAAACCCCATTAATGAAACATATCACAAACTTAAAATTTTGAAATATTTATTTAAAAAAATAAAATATTATAAAAAAGCGTGCTTCCCCTCCCCTCTCCTTTTGTCGTTTTAATTTTCATGTCCAAACAGCCAAAATTCAAACGGCTAGCCGATCAAATGGCCAAGGGGCTGGTTTTCACAATTGATTAAACAACCTATTATCACAATTGATCAAATAAATTTTAGAGATTAGGGATTGAAATTTAGTGATTTAAGAATTTTAGGTTTTGAGATGATATTAAGAGTTGTAATCGGTTAGTAGGTGGTCAACGACGTATGGGTGGTCTGCCGCCGACAAATGTGTGGCCCGATATGATTGGCAGTTGGAATAAATGGGATAAAAAAAGAGATTTTAAGAGTTTATGGTTTCTTGGTATTTTAGATAAAAATGGGGTTTTCATAAATAAAATATTTTTAAGTTTTTCCAAATAAAATTTTAAAATTATCAGATTATGACACGTGCCACTTAACGAGATTTTTTAACGGTCGTTAACACCGAAACACTTAAAGTGATAACATTTGTAATGTAAGATACCTAAAAATGATAATATTTATAACTTTAAACATTTGAATAAATCGAAAAATACTTTAAGCATATATTCGTAAAAAAAAGTATAATTTGATCATTTATTTTATACTTAATCCAAAAAAATTGAACCACATACAAAAGAGGAAGAAACCCAGGGCTCCAGCCTGCCAGCTCCCGACGTCCGTAGTCGAACCACATGGCGATTTGTTTATAGACTCCAAACAATATGTTAAATTTAAGATGTGAAAGTAGGATTACTTTATGATGAAAATATTTATTTAAAAAATAATTAAAATAACATTTAAAAAATTAAAAAAAAATGTATTCATTTTAATTACATAAGATAAAAATGTGATTATGTGGTCGCATCTTATCAAAAGTATTTAAAACTCTACACGTCTTTGCATTATATGACATGCGAAACAAAAAACACTGTATGTTAAAAATGTATTCTCGTGAAATTATCCTAAAAATCAGAAATTATCCTAAAAATGTATTCTCGTGAAATTATCCTAAAAACCAGAAAGAATAACAAAAAAATTTTTTCCTATCGAGGTCGCTTAGTTCGTACAATATTTATGATAACTTAAATACATAAACCAATATATTTAAAAATTAATTATTTACTTATTTTATAAAATAATAATAATAATAAATATATAACTATAATTAGCACGAACCAAACTAACTCAGTGGTTAAAGAGATTATTCTTATCCCTAAAAGTATTGGGTTTGAGTACCAACAACTATATAATATTTGATTGTTTATTATCAAATGATTGATAGTCTCTAAAACATATATTATCACTTATAATCACATTAAATTAATAAAAAAGTATAATTAAAATTAATAAAGATATGATCATGTTACAATATAAAACTCTTTTAGTTTTACACAGATTTAAATCTGTTAAATGAGTGAAAATAAATAATTAAAATTGACTCTTTATTTTTGCAGTATATATCTTCATATTTTAAATTCATTTTATATAATAACATTAAAATAAATTTAGACAAAAAAAAACCTTGCACCTTTTTCCATATGGTAACAAACTTGAAAACAATTTATCACCCCCCAAAAAAAAAGAACTTGAACGGATGCTCAAATACCGGGCAATAATATTAATTATTTCATACGTATAAAAATTGAAATGAAAAATCAGCTTGGGAAGACGATAAAGTGGGACCTGAGGTGATGCAATTCCCTTTGCTTGTCAGGATCTCATCTAATGGCAGACACCATATTCATTTACCACCATCAACGGTGCTCCTTCAGTGGGCCACTCCAATTCATTATGTGGGCCCGAAGAAACACATAATAAAACCCAGATCCCACGTATTAAAATTTTCAGTTAAAAAAATAGTATTTTAATAAGACTTATTATGGACACGTTTTAACGTACTCTTTGATATTTAATGAAAATATTTTTTTATAGAAGACCGCAAGGTTTTTTAAAAAATAAAAAATATTTAGAATTATAATGAAATTTTATAATAATAACTGTAAACATAAATTAAATTATACTTAGTACATTTTTTCTATAATCATTGACATAAAAATTAGTCTCTTAGATCACACAAGGGCCAAAAAAAGGAAAAGATTAAAAAATCTAACCAATGTTCTGACAAAATAAAGATACAAATAAATTTGACTACATTGACAAACGAACCACAAAATGATATGAAGCTACTAAAGACAACCGATAAATCGTAAATCAGAGTCAAGCGACATGAGAAAACTATCAACGAATGCAAAATGCGTATGCAAATCAATCTGAGAGTCCAAAACAGGAAAGATCAACATAATAACAAATAAGTGTCATCTTGATCAGTCGTGACGATATCAAATCTAACCCTGAGAAAAAAGATAAATGAAAACAGCGACAAAAAACCGTAAGCTACCAAAAGACAGAGCAAAGCGTGCCACAAAGGTAAAGGTAAACGTGTCATAAAAATAGAAAACATGTCACAAAGACATAAGTATTCTTATCAAAAAAACAAAAAAAATAAAAAGACAACGGTCGGCGACAACTAGCATCAAAACTAATGTCGCCGTTGGTTAAACAAAATTAAAGAAGGAAAAATTAGATTGATCAATAAAATTAACACAAATTATAAATAAAAAAAAAGAGAGAAGAGGAGGAAGAAAACAGCTAGAATTTTAGTTTTCTTATTTAATGAAAATATTTTATATTCTATTTTAATACTTTTAATTCATAAAATATAATATATATAACTCATTTAACATAATTATCATGATAATATTTAAAATGGCATGGATCACTCTGTCTTCCAAAAATCCAACAATCTCCTTGGCCAAAGGAGAGTGAAAAGTGATAACAGCACCCATGTAGCAGGGAATGTCTTGATCACGAGAAGTGTCATCTCTTCTCTTCGAAATATCTACTTCCCATACATACACCTATTCATTCTTATTGATCTATTAATAATCAATTTAACAGTAAAAAGTGAATTATTTCAGAGGTAGAATTTAAAACATTTTTAAATCAAAACAACTATATGATCTATTAATAATCAATTGATCTATTAGATTAGATTAAAGTATTAAATCTCTTAATAAAATGAAGAGTTTAAATCATAATATTATGAATTAGATATATTACGTTATAAGAGTCATCTCGTAATAAAACTCTATAACATTTCGTTTAAATTATTTATTTAATAAATTTAATTCATAAATTAGATATCAATATACAATTTAAATTTAAATTTAAAAATTAAAATATTTTATTTTAAAAATTATCTAAAATAAAAATTAATTTCAATTAACATAAAATAAAATAAATTGAAATGAGAATTTAATGCTCCTATATCCCATGATCCCTAAAATTAGAGCGAAGCTATTTATTGCAGTACTTGATGATGCAAGAAGTTATAATAGCCTGAGCTCCACTTATTTTATATTTAAGTCCCTCATCCCACTTATTTTCGCGGTCGACATTACCACAAATATAATTACAAACATATATATATATATATATATATATATATAAAAGAAAGCTTCTTTTTCTATCAACAATGCAAAGCCCAAGTTGCTCAAGTGACGTTGTGCAGCCTGATCTAACATCACTAACACCACCTTCTTCCTCTTCCTCCAACAGCGCCCCCATGAGCGCCACCACAACCACAACAACCGCCATCAGCGGCTGTCTCTCCATGGATGAGTACGAACCCACGGAGACGCGACTCAGGAAGCTGATATCGGAGCACCCTGTCATCATCTTCAGCCGATCGTCTTGTTGCATGTGTCAGGTCATGAAAAAGCTCTTGGCCACCATCGGGGTTCACCCTACTGTCATCGAACTCGATGACCATGAGATGGCTTCCCTCCCTCCTCCGGCGCCGCCCGCTCAATACAGTGTCTCCCCTCGGATCCCTTCCCCCGCGGTGTTCATCGGTGGAACCGGCATCGGCGGCCTAGAATCCCTCATGGCTCTTCACCTCAGTGGCCACCTCGTTCCAAAGCTCGTCGAAGTTGGTGCTTTCTGGGTATGACATATAAGTACTATTATTATAATTATTAAATATCGCATTAAGAATCATGTAACGATCAGGCTTTCTTTTTTAATGCTTCTTCAATTTGGGGTTGTTCCTTCCATTTTATAAGTCGATAAACATAAATTCATGCAGTCCACTTCCAAAGGAGAGAGTTTCTGCAGCTTCGATCAAGGGGAGGGGATTAAATCTGAGTTTAGAGAATGAACAACGAGTGGAATGGGCTATTTTGAAGTGGGGTTGGTTACCAATTATTGAGCATCCTAGAGCCACTCGAATTTGTTCATTATTGGTTATTTTAATTAATAATTTATGTTGTATAAACTTAAATATTAATGAATAGTGTATTGGAATTATTAAAGAAAGTAGTATATACACACTCTTAAACCGAAAACATACTCACCAGTCATAGCAAAGAACATTTTTTTAGAGTATAGCAAAGAAGATTATACATTAACTAATGCACATGTTTATTATCAATTTATATACAAACTGTTCTGAGATTTTGGTGGTCTTAGGACGAACATGAAAACTAGACATCTAATAACACATATTTAAAAAAGTGAATAGTAAGAATAAGAAAAACAAATTAATTTGCTTATAAATTATATTTTTTTATTACACTTAACAAATCATCTATAAATACATTATATTTCAAATAGAACACATCAAAAAAATTATTAAAAAACTAACTACTCACACAAAACAAGCATGATCCTATTCTAATACAAAAATAAATTATATTCAAATTAAAAAATAATTAACAAATTCCACGTACGTGTCTACATTAATTAAATGTGTGACTAAAACAGAAATAAAAACGTAACAAATGAATAATTTTAAAAAACAATAATTGGATGACCAAAAAATAAAGCAAACATAAATGAGTGACTAAATAAGTAATTTATCTTTTTTTAATTATATATGCACTAAATTTTGGACTCTTGACAGGTGACCCTCATGTCCATGCCCACCTATGGGTCTACTTATGTACAAAGATGGACTGAGGGGATGTTAGAAGGTGCGGCTGCACCCTTAAAAATTTTAAATTTTTGTATAGTTTATATACTTTCTATTGATTATCTAATTTCACACATATGTTATTTTATAATTTCGCACCCCGTAAATGTTTAATATAATTTCTTAAGTTTACATCCCTAGCATAAATTTCCATGTATGTCCCTCTTTATATACAACTAAAATCAATAGTAATGTCACATTATGTAATGCCCCAAATCTCGGGTTAGTAGTTCGGGTTGACCCGAGACCTATAAATATAGCCCAAAAGACTTATTATAATAGCTTGAAATCTAGTTAAGTTGGAATTGGGGTTAGATTGGGCCCAAGGATAGGATTTTGGGATGAATTATTAAGATATAAAAAGAAAGAGGACCAAAAGTGAAATTAATCCATTTTTCAAATCTAGAGCTAAAAACCCTTATTTTCTATGATTTCTACGTGAACCACTCTACCCCATTTCCACACCAAACACTCTTCATCTTCTTTTTATCTTTTTCTCTTCTTCCTCATCTTCAAGGTGAAAACTTTAATAAATTCAAGCCTAGTTGAGTTTAGCAAAGGTAAGGATGTTAATCTCGATTTTAAGAGCTTTAATTTAAGCCCCATATTCCAAGCTTTAAGCTTATGAGCCAAAAATGGGTTTTAAGGAGGTTTAAAAGAATCAAGTGATTCTAGTTTGCTTTTAGTGGATTTAAGTTGTAGGGGGTGTCGTTAAATTTAATACATACTTATAAATGAGTTAGTAACTCATTTACTTTGTCTTTGATTAGTGAAAGAAGTGGGAGAAAACTCAAAGGCAAAAGGAAAAGAAAAGTTGACCCTTGGATGATTTTTGGGGAGTTTTCATCAGCTAGGTCACCAATGTAACACATTTTAACCTAACTATACCATTTGTAGACCTTTTAATGCATCAATTTAGCTTGCATTAGCTTTGGAAATAGCATATTCATGGTAAATTTTAGGCTTATGTGTTTTAAAGTTATATGTTGACTCCTTATGAGCTTAATAACTCAAACAAGATGTTAATAACATTTGGAGACCTCTTTAGGGCTCTTAGAGTGCTTAGAAAGGGTTTTAAAATACTTAAACAGGGCATTTTTAGTACCACTGTCGGTACTAAAGGAACAATATCGATACCGTTCTTAAGCAAGGAAAAAAATGTAAGGGGTTTTGGGTAGTAGTATCGATACTCATACATAGAGTATCGATGCCGAGGGCTCAATTTCGATACCTCGAGGAGGGGTTTCAATACTGTTTTTCCATAGGACAATTTTGGTACCGATACTCATGGGAGTATCGATACTCCCCTTATGGGTATTGATACTACTCCTTCTCGCATAGTTGATTTTAAGCTGTCAATATCTATACTCAAAAGTGGAGTATTGATACTTCTGGGTCAATATTGACACTAGAGGATCAATATTGATACTTCTGGGTCAGTATTGACACTGAGAGGATCAATATCGATACCACTACCCTGTTCAAATATAGAAATCATAGGAATCTTAAGGCATTGTCGGAGGACCCAAAACATCTTTAAACTCTCTAATAATATATCAAGTTGGAATAATATTAACAATGTGAATTCACCTAGAAACCTATAACTTATGAAATCATAAGACTGGCCTTACGTGATGCTCAGGAAACAATTTGGACACCCGAATCACTCTAGTAGTAGAAGGAACGATTATACGTTAGAATATCTGGCCAAAATAAAGATAGTGCACTAGACACTTCTTTACTAATTGGGCGTAGATACCCAAGGCTTAACGGAGCAAGTTAGTCGATTATGTAGTTTCCTATGTAAAATTTTGGATCTCACCCTAGGTAGGCTAGAGGGTTGCATGAGCTCCAAGATGTAGCCCCTCAACCGCACCATGATGTCTACCTCTATATGTGTAATACCCCAAATCCTAGGTTAGTAGTTTGAGTTAACCCAAAACCCTTAAATAGAGCCCCAAAGACTTATTAGACTAGTTGGATATAAGTAAGTAAGAATCGGGCTTGGTTAGGCCCAAGTGTTAGGCTTTTGAGTGTAAGTTTATTAATAAGTAAAAGGGTGAGGACTAAAGTATGATTTTTCCTTTTTTCAAATCTAAAGCTAACAATGTGAAACCAACGTGAACCACCCCCATCCTTACTCACTAAACACTCTTTCTTTTCCTCTCTTCCAAGAGAAAGAAGGGTTTAAGTTTCAAGGATTCCAATTTCTAGTTGGGTTTATCTAAGGTAAGGAAGTTATTCTACATTTCAAGAGCTTCATTTCAAGCCCCATATGTCAAGTTTTAAGCTTTGAACCAAAAATGGGTTTTAGTGAGGGTTTATAAAATTTAAGGATCCTAGTTGTGTTTGGGGTAAGATGAACTTTAAGAAATGTTTTTAGATTTTCACTAGTCTCAAAAATAATTTAGTAACATTTTTTCCTTATGCATTAGTGAAAGAAGTTGGAGAATGATCCAAAGCAAAGGGAAAGAAAAGTTAATACTTGGGTAATTTGGTACAATTTTCAGTTTCCAAAACCTTAAGGTAACACCCTTCTAACCTTTATATACCATTTGTACGCCTTACTATACATTTATGTAGCTTGCATTAGCTTCTGAAGGATTAAGAGCATGTTCATGCTAAATCTCATATTTATATGTTTTTTATGACCTTAATAAGTTCAAATAAGATATTAATAATGTTTGGGTACCTCCTTTGGGCATTTAGGATGGTTTAGAAGGGTTGAAGATGCTCAAACAGGATATTTTCAGGTGCCAGTATCGGTACTGTATGAGTTAGTATCGATATTGTTCTTATATAAAGCAAAAATATATGAGTTTTTAGATAGAATTATCGATACTCATGCATAGAGTATCGATACCATAGGGCCGGTCTCGATACCTGAAGGAAGGGTCTTGATACTGATTTTTCATAATACCATTTTGGTACCGATACTTATGAGTATTTATACTCCCTATAGAGGTATCGATACTACCCCTTTTCTCAAGGCTATTTGTAAGTTGTTGGTATCGATACTTTAATGGGGGTATCGATACTCCTAAGTCAGTATTGATACTGGTAAGTCAATATCGATACTATCTTAGTTTCAAAGAAAAGAAATTATGGAAGTTTTAGAAATATGACCGAGGGACCCAAACCACTAATTAATCATTTAATAAGACATCAAGTGAGAATGATATTAATAAGTTCAATTTCACTTAGAAACCTATAACTTAGGGAATCATAAGACTTGCCTTATGTGATGTTCGATAAATAAGACGGACACCTAAATGAATCTAGAATAGGGGAACGATTGTATGTTAAGATATGACCAACCCTAAGATATTGCACTAAGCACTTCTTTACTAACTAGGCGTAGATGTCCCAAGTCTCGACATAGCAAGTTAGCTGGGGTGACATAACCCAATGTAGAATTCTGGATTTCCACCCTATGTAGGATACAGAGGTACATGAGCTTTGAGATATAGCCCTCAGTCACACCATGATACCTACCTTTTATATGATTTAGCTTAGCATATTGTATACTAGTAAGTATGTTTTAAGTATGCTTTAAATATGTTTATTAGAGGATGCATGTAGTGTAGTTGGTTGTTAGTGTTGCACTGAGATTGTGAGCTTAGCGTTCGAAATTTTATTCCATGCGCAGGTTAGTACCAAGAGTTTTTTAGATGAGCCTTAGCTTGGAACACTTTGCAGCCGCCAGCCTTGGAGTACATCTCGGACTTTATTTAGTTGGCATATATTGTATGTGGTCCTTCATATGTTGAGTCGTAATAATAGGTGAATTATTTTGACAACTTATGCTTAAATTATTTTGGGGGCTACCGTAATTGTAAAACAAGTATTATACATTTCTTTTGTTGGTTATTTCAATATGTGGTTTTTAAGTGAATGAATATGTTATTTTAAAAGAATTTTTTTGGTTAGCTACTCTGATGGTCCGTGTGATGTAATAGTCCGTCGATCTCCAGGTCACACTAGATTATAACGTTACAGTATGTATGATTTAGCTTAGCATACAATATGGATTAAAGGTTGCATGTAGTATAGTTTGGTTATTAGTGTGGCACTGAGCTTGTGAGCTCAACATTCGAAATTTATTTCCATACGTAGGATAGTACAATGAACTTTTGGATGATCCATCGCCTAGATCACCTTACAGTTAGCCGCCAACTATTTAGTACGTCTCAGATTCATTATTAGTGAGCATGTATCATATATGGACCCTTATGTGTTCGAG